TTTCGGGGAAATTTTTCTTGCGGGACACGGCGGGTAGTCCCGAGTGGGCAAGATAGCTCCATCTTGCCCGCTCGGGTAGCCAATCACACCGCAGGATTTGATTCATCTTGCCCGCTCGCGGAGCTAGCCATATAATAAATAATTTTATACGCTCGAATTCGTCCCCAGTTTTCAAAAATAAAGAAGAAAAGAATAGTCCCGTCTCTCTACACGTGACAAGAACCCCTCAAGTAGCTTTAAAATTTTTGACAAGAAAGAATCGCAAAATTCGAGGGAAAAAAGAGAGGAAAGAAAAAGGTCTGGGAGAAGGAAAATGTTCAGTTCTACTTTTGCTGTCGCGCCTATAGAGAATCATAGTAGTTGTATAAAACTGTGGTTCCAAAGGAAATTGGGTGACGTGACGAGAGATGTGACTACCTTTTGCTAACTTTACGAAACTAGAAAGGTCACACCCGACAAATCGCATAAAACGTGTTGAAACGATTAGCATCAAAAATTTGTTCTAAAAAAATGAAGAAAGCAGCGTGATGACAGATCATGTTATGATTACGACTTAGCAGAGGTGACCTTTATGCCTACCTGGGAGACCAGCCTCCGATGAAGACTGTATTGAGGCTCCTCACGTGGGAGAGGAATGTTAGCGTGACGAGCATGTACACGTACGCTTAATTAAGTCGAGGCGACAGAATGTTTTTCAAGAGGGGTTTCTTTGATTATTTTGACGCAGTGCTGAACTGCTTTAAAATCATTTCTCGAGTACTTTGGTTCAGTAGCAGATAAATACAGGGTAATATGAAAACTTCCTGAACACTGGCCAGACAGGATCAGACAGAGATTTGTTTGCAAGCAGCTTAGGTCGAGGACAACGAGTGAAGTTGATCTAAAAGAGTCATGAGAGGACGTGTCAGGGCTGACAGAGATGGAAATTAACAGTCCTTAATTACCGGTTTAAAATCACACGACATTTGGGCTTGAATTTCTAGCAGCTGAACATTTGTCTTGAAGGCATAACAGGGATATAAAGGATAAAGGTAAGATCAAACTAGTCATTTTGTTAGTTCAAGAACCTCAAGAACCATAGATATTCGACTCGGCATATTCTCAAGCCATCGTCTATTCAATACCGTAGTAGGAACACCAAAATATTTCTAAGGACTTAATTCTGTACGAGTCGACAAACGTCTTTAATGATAAGCACTGTCTAGAACGCCATAAGTCGTCCTTTAATAATGAATATGTAACACATTTTCAACTGATACTCAAGAAAAATACAGAAACGGATCTTTAAAACTGTCGAGCGGCCCTTGCAGACCAAAATAAGGAATACGGCAACTTCAGTAGGCTCCCGGCTTAGCAGTGGCTACAGTGTTTTAAGGCGGTTTCAAGCGTGACATGATCGCGAGACACGCGTAGAGAGAGAGACCCTCTTTCCACGCATGACTGTCAATCAGGGAACTCAAGAAGAGCGGCTGTGAAACTCACAACTCACCAATGCAATGCTCACGAATTTCTTCATACAAACAAACCGACTTGAACTGTGCCTCTCTGTTTACCCAAGACTAGTCTCATCGAGTCTCACTGACACTGGGCAATGACAGAACTGACATGAAGCGATGATAAAAGCTGATAAAACATAGAAGATAGGCGAAAACTGGTAGGGATCGCTAAACATTTCTGTAAGCCCCCTCCCTTCCCCTCTCAAGAGTTAGCGCTCCTTGACTAAAATAAGACAAATCATCGCCTACGTGTAAAAGGTGAGGCCTCATTGTTGCCTTGTTAGATAAGGCTTCAGCCATTCCTTGTACCTCTAAAGACTTAAATGCGGCGACAGAAGGTTTTTGGGGGCTGTTTACCTGTTCTCCCTGTTTACAGCAATCCAGAGGTAAACACGCTTGTAAAATAAACTAAGTGATCTGATTTTCTCTCCACACAAAATCGTGGAAAATCCACGATAACGTCATTATTTCCCTTCCCAATATCCCATCATTAAAGAGTATTTGCTCAAAACTAAATTAAGCGTAGGAAAATTGTCCTTCAATAAAAAGGCACGAAAACACAAATTGAAGCCTGTCAAGCGATGTTACTATAACCGGACTAAATTTGAAGAAACGATTTAAAATGTGCGATTTTTTTTCCTCCATAGATGAGATTGAACAAAATGTCAGAACTCGAGCCAGTTTGTAGTGACGTGACCGTGATCGGAGCTGGTTGGTCAGGCCTTATGGCGTGTAAATACATGCTAGAAGTAGGGTTGACTGCTGTGGCGCTGGAGAAACGCTCAGACATTGGAGGCCTGTGGTGTTTTACAAAGGATCCTAACATTGTCACAGTCATGAGATCCACAAAAACAACCTCTTCATCATCCGTGACAGAAATGTCGGACTTTCCAATGCCGGACGAGATTGGGGCGTTCCCTAAGCACGCCGATATCTTGGCATATTTGAAATCCTATTGTGATGAATTCAACTTGTGGCCTCACATTCGTTTAGGTCACGGCGTGAAAGAGGCGAGGAAAAAAGACAACTTATGGCGAGTGGACTGCGACAACGGTCGTGCTTTCATAAGCAAGTTCTTGATCGTTTGTACAGGTTGCGTGCAGAAGCCGAATCGGGTTCTGGAACGCACTCTATTACAGGATTTTGAAGGTGAAATCTACCACAGTTCTAAGCTGAAATCCTTTGTCCCTGGGCACAAGGGAAACCGCGTGATGGTAATTGGAGGAGGAGAGACAGCCAGTGACGTGGTAGAGGAATGGTGTGACCATGTTGATCGCCTTATTTGGAGTATACCACGTGGAATGCATTTCTTCCGCAAGTTTGCCAAGATCTTACCCAATCGCAAACCTCAAGCATTGGACAAAGCATCGTCCCGAGTGATGAAATTTATTGCTCCTTACACGAAAGGAAAGCCAGGTATATAGTAATCCTATTGACTTTCATAAGAACCTGTTTTGAATTTGAGCTTCTTTGCGCCAAGAAAGGCTCCGAGCCAGCCGAGCTTCACTTATTGACTAATACTGCATGAATCAGAGTGGTAAAGGCTTTCGTAACATAGGCACGCAATGCGTGCAAGAGGTATTTTTGTACTTTTGCGCACTGAGAAAGATTTAACACATGTTTCAGAATATAAACAAGAAGCTATGTGGCTTTATAGTGGCCCTGTCAATTAGTAATTGATTTATTCTTTAGCGTGCATCAGTGAGAGTTTCTGGAGGTGTTGTCTCGACAGCTCTAGCTTCTCGAGTGATTTCCAAACTACCCAAATGCATGATATCAATTGTTGTATTTCTTGTATAACTCACTGACCAAATATACCTTCGGACGCCTCAGAGGAATTTTTTTTGCCAAAAAAGTCAATTAAACGGAACGTTTCTGATTTTTGAGAGGCGTGAGTTGACATTTTTACGCTACGCAACATCACTGCTACACCAAGACTGCGAAAGTACCAGTATGACGGATCAAAGTCTGATTTTGCTTACAAACGGTAACTTGACACTTCAGTTTTACACAAAGGAGTAAATTCAATCAACGACTCTTGTTCTCACGAGAATAAACAAACAAGAAGCTAATGTAGCGGCAACTCCAGCCATCTTATCTTCAATGTTTGGATGTTTTTCATGTGGCTCCAGTGTTCCGAACGGAAAGTTATTAGTCAGTAAGCTTCACAAATTATAAATAGGTGAGCGTCATAAAGATCGAGTTCATGGAAAATAGTGACTTTGATATAAGGGTTCTCCAAAAGTACATTTGTGCTATCCAAATACGTGGCAGCGTGTCGTGGTCCATTTGTTGAGATCGCATAAGTCAGCTGAAAAGTGTATATAAACAACACCAAAACAATTTCTGTAGAGACTGCTAATTTAATAAGCGATGCATTCGGTTGAATATTACTGGTTTTCAGAGTCACGCAATTCAAAATAGATCAAAATAAAATTCAAAACCGGCCAACAAATTAAAGTCCAGAATCTGGGAAATGAAAGAAGGTAAATATGCCAAGACTCACGCCAAAATTCTGGCCACAGCAATTTTTCTTACGCGAGATATGCGGAGAAATTTTTTTACCCAAATTTATAGAGAATTTTCTTTGTATGGAGACGCCATGCTGGTGCCATCCGTATGGGCACCAACATGGCGACCGGAAACCAACAGAAACATCTGTCACTGAGTTTTGCTACAAAAGCGTGAATTTATCCCTCGAGG